GTAGGCTCAGTATTAAAAAAAAAAAAAAAAAAAGCACCTACCTGCGTAGAAACTGCAAAGCCATCGTCCCCGTGGCGGTACTTCCTCCATAGACCAGCACAAACTCCTCCTTTCGCTCGGACGATGCATTGATCGACAGCCCCAGCTCGTCCCGGAGAGCCAAAGCCATTGTCGCCGGACCCGCGCCCCCGATAGCAGCGGCATTTGTAAATGACAAATCCGGAGGAATGACCGCCAGAATGTCCGCGGTGGCTCCGACGTACTCGGCAAAGGCTCCGACAGCGGGGTCGAGTGGGTTCGCCCCATGCACTCCACCGCACACGCGATCGCCAACCTTGACCCGCTCGGTCGCTGCAGATCCCACGGCGACTACTGTGCCAGCGAAATCACACCCAGACACCGCGCCCGGAGTCGGGAAGTTCGCGACCATTTTGTGGTCGGTCGGGTTCAGCGCCACCGCGGCCGTGCGCACCAGCACCATGTCCGGGGCCAGGGGGGGGACGGGCGCGTCGCGGGCGTGGCCCAGCCGGCCATTGGGCAGGCATACAATTGCGCGTTGCACTTGTGGAATATCGATGGATTCCTTGGGTTCGTGGAGTTTGTAGCCCATTGTTGGTGTTTGGGGTTTATGGGGGCTGTGGATGTGGCAGTTGCGATATTGTTCTCTGTCGATTAGATTAAGATGGAGTAAGGCTGGGGACCATTCCTTGAAAATATAACTCATCAGAATCTTACAGTGGCCGGATATATCTTGAGGTGAGGTTTCAAGCCCACTGAGTATTAGGATTTGATACATGGATTGCACCGATATTCCTTGCATGCGAAATGTCTCCGGTACAGACAGGGTGTGCCTCCCCGAAAGATGGCCCAAAAGTCCGCGAATCCGGCCCGAATTTATTCAGCCTGTCGTGTCCTGACCCATGCCCTATGATGAAGTTGTTGACCGACATCGACGCGCTCGGTGTGAAACTATCTTCTACATTCGCGATACTACCGCTCAAGTGGAAGCCGACGCAAGTTTAACTCATGGCGTCAAATAAATTCTACGAGTTTCAGCCCCTCGACAGTGCGTATATCCGAGTCCCAAAAAAAATAATCTCAAATTTGATACTAACGCGTACGTCCATAAAGAAAAAGGCAAACCCTACCCTCTATCTACATTGAAAGGCACCGTGGTCTTAGTCGTGAACACCGCCTCAAAATGCAGTTTCACCCCGCAATACCGAGAACTCGAGCAGCTATACCAGCAAATCGACTCGGAGTACCCCAACAAATTCGTCATCCTCGGATTCCCTTGCAATCAGTTCGGCAACCAGGATCCCGGCACCAACGACGAGATCCAGACTTTCTGTCAGGTGAACTACGGGGTTAGCTTTCCAGTGCTTAGAAAGGTCGATGTGAATGGTCCGGATGCGGAACCCCTGTGGTCGTGGATGAAGGAGAAGCAGCCGGGGATTTTTGGCTTGACGCGCATCAAATGGAATTTCGAGAAGTTCCTCATTACTGCTGATGGACAAGTTGCGGGGCGTTGGTGGAGTATGGTGAACCCACAGTCTTTGCATGATACAATCGTTCGGGAGATAGAGGCTGGGAGGAATTGACTTCTATGAGCACATGTTAGGACTATGAGTTTATGAGCGATTGAAAGAGCCGGCTTCGAGTTCTCTGTGTCCTAAAGATGCATGTTTATTCGTTGCGAGTACAGGAAGTTAGTGCCGTAGCGTCGAGCTTCGGACAAGCTTGCGCCATTGAATACGGAGACGCTGATTTCGGAGACTTTCTTCAGTACTTCCATCAAGTATCTCCGATATCGTATGATTTAAACCCTCTTTAAAGGCGCCCACTCCGTTCTTGATCTTTTGACTCGACTAAGGATTATATAGTACCGGGACGCCTTACTAGCTCAACAATCCCAATCGTCCCCTCCATACCCTCCCTACCTACCCCCCAAATGGCTTCACGTGTAATCTTCGACCCCCTCATCGCCCTCCGCTTAGCTCCCCTCGTGAGCTCAACCTGCAGCCTCTGGTTTGCCTGGGACCAAAACATCTTCCTCCGAAACTTCGTCCACCCCGCCAACCGAACCGCCAGCGATCGCTCCCTACCCACCTACTTCCGAACCTTTTTTCGCAGCGGTGTGACCTGGATCCTCGTCCTCCTCGGCCTCTCGGTATCGACAGCCGGCATCAACATCGTCACGGACCGAGCCTCGCTCGCTCAGTGTCAGTCCCTGCGTTGGTACGCCGCCGGCGCCGCCTTCACAGCCGGCCATGCCTTGTACGCGCCCATGGTCGCTCCCATCGTGCGCGCCATCTCCGAGGACCGTTCCAAGGGCCATTCCACACGCGACCTGGAGCGCTGGCTGTGGTGGAACTTTCTTCGGATGGTGACGGTGGATTTGACGGCTTGGGTGTGTTTTGGGGTTGGGGTTATGCGGACACTTAGCCTTTGAAACATTTCTTGTCTGCTACGTGTCGCTGGAGGCCTTGCTTCACTGATTGCGGAGGCTGTCAGCGTTTGGCTTAGCGCGGGGAACAGATTGTGATTGCCTCCGATACAGGGTAGTAATGTAAACTCGGAGCTTGTTGGACAGCGCCGGGCAAAGATGTGTGCAGAAGGAGTTAGCAGTCTGATGTTAGACGGTTATTTATGCACTGTCGGTATATGGGTCTATTAGGAGTGTCCATATCCACAGACATGGAGCGGCCAAAGCCTGACACAGAAGTATTTTTTAGTAATTTAGTTAAGTCTGGTATTATAAGTTATATATTCGCTTACATATACTTACAGTCCAAAGACATATTCTAAAAGTATATATATATAGCTGGGATCAATATCTTATTATAGTTGAGCTAATGGTGGTGGAGATATTGGAGCTCAAAAGTAATCAATTAGCATGGGATACAGAGGTGGCCCACTCGACCGGGACGTTAGTTACAGCATGTCGGAGCCAAATGGCAGGTTCTATAATCACACTATCACTGGGGATACAATCCGTTATTTAAGTGCAATCCTACCAATATTCGCAATCCATTCATACTCTACTGAAGTCTCGATCTAGCAGTTGAGGGGTGTTATGGGTTCTACAGGCCTTGTACGAACCAGTAGTGGGAGCTCGGTAGGACCTCGCTGGAACCTGCAACCCCAGAGACTGCGAGTCATCCTGCCGCTGTACACCGCCCTTCCCCGAGTTGTTGATACTCTAGTATGCCTTAATAAAAGATAACAACGTATTATATTTTACCTGAAGTTAAGGTACTTCACAAGCGAGCGTTCCGCCTCCCGCGTTTTGACACCGGTCGAAAACCTTGCTCAATTCAGCCATCCACCGTGCCTCCGAAAGCGCGTCTAACTTCGGGCAGGAATTGGAGGTGTGGCCGCTCATGTGTGGTGGCTCGCATGTGAAATACGTTACCAGTTGTGTTGAGTGGTAGATTGATTGCTTTTGATTGACTTGAGGAGTTATCTTGTACAGGAGCGCGATGCCCCATATATATCTGTTTCCAATCTGTGCCATAAGGTCCTGCCACTGTGATACTCAACAAATCGCTCTCGTGATAGCCGCCCGGGCCGCCAACCAGAGCGCGTTTAATCGCGTTTAAAACCGTCTCTCCCCTTCTAATCCTCCACCTCGCCAGAGACTGTTCGCGTGCGATGCCACAGGGTTCATCGTGATCCCAGACCTGGGACTATGACCTGGAACAAGCAAGGCAGCTGGGTGAACTATGACCTGGAACAAGCAAGGCAGCTGGGTGATGTTCATTGATTTTGAGCGCTCGACGCTGCAGAATCGACGTCGAACGCCACTGGGGACCATTACACCAAAAACGCGAACGCGAGGTCGGACATTTGGGAAGAGTCTAAATAAGCACCTCAATCATTTTGAGCGAGACTAAGACGCATTATCAATGGTTTATAATGATGCACATCTCACAAGTCCTGTCAACTGGGCCTGATATAGTGAGACTAAGGGGAGCAGCAACACTTTCATTCGAAGTGATATTATGAATCGACCCTGGGGGAAAACGATATTTATTCCCAATCAGTTCTGACGAGATCAACTATATCCCATACCCAAAAACCCTTGTCTCCTAACCTATCTTGTATCCTCCGTGTAGTCACCTCCTTGCTGTGGACTTGCCGGCAAGTACTCACTCTTGGCCGATATATTTGACAGCGAGTTCGTGCCATGTTATCTCTTGAGGCTTCGGGTAGTGCGATGCCTACATCTCGTCAGAGGATGAATATCAAATGGTGACATACCTACCAGCTGCTCTCGTGATAGAGGCCACTGGTTGTCAGAATTGAAAAACATAATTTGGCTATTGTGTCTGAGTCGTATCATCATGAATACATATAACTCTATATAGACTAGGATAGCCTAGTGTCTAAATTCCCGGTAAGAGTTATTGTAAAGAAATACTAGTTGTCAGGCTAGTCCTGTTGGTCAGGCGAGTCGACCCTTGGCAACCATCAAAGAAGCTCGGAACTAGGCTGCGCCAAAACCCACAAAACCCAAAACCCAACCCAATCTATGGGGCCCCATTAAACCCTATTAAATCGTAAAAACGTTAACTTTCACATGACTACATAATTTATGTAGTTCTAGGTGGTTTTTATTTGGTATACTTTATACATATGAAATCTGAATTTATATATTACCATCTTCCAAATATGAAATATGTCAAATATGTCAAATATACATCTCTACAATTTTACAGCACAACATATATTATATCGCAGTTCAGAATAAATCAATATGATAATCAAATATCGTATAACTGAAATAAGCTCACCGTTCATATAGTTATTACTCTCTATTAAAGAGAAATATCTAGTTGTATTACTAGATGATTATGGCAGACATATTAAAACAGCGATAAAAAGCCGGAATTTATCAATATTATATAAGCCAAATTATGTAGCTTGATATCGCCTAATCCGGAAAATAATACAGAGAATGGGTCGAAACGTGTCGAAATGGGTTTTGGGTTGGGTTTGGGATCTCGACCCACCAGTGGGTTTTGGCGCAGACTACCGAGAGCGTAGTCTAAAGCGTCTATTTCTAATACGATCGGTAGATTATAGTTAAAATTTATTATAATCGTTCGCTTATTAAATAGCTTCTTAAGCTCCTAGAATAATTTTTCCGCTACTTCGTCCTATTAGAATATCTATCCTCTCTTGGTAAATTGTTGTTGCCGGGATATTTTGTTTCGATGTCTTGCTTGAACTTTTGTCGACATGTAAAGCAATGATTGTAGTTTACCTATTAGCAAATGGCTCGCTCACGGGACAACAACTATGGTGAAATTCGATGCTACCTAGCCGCCTCTTTATTCGGCGTTTGACGTGTCCAGCTTCATGCCCTGGAATCCTAGTGTATTAAACGGACAGAACTACTCAATTTATGGTTGCACCCTCAAAAGTAAGACCCAATACTGTAAAACCTTTTACAACCAGACATGTAAGTTGCTGGCTGTGCTTCCAACACCACTCAAAATTAAGCCGTGAACGCTAGTGCAACCAACACCTTCCAATGTTCTCTTGCCCTCCCATTCCCACCGATGCTACAGTCAATGCTACCACCCAATGCCAGGACTGGTATACAATCTGGGATGGTGAGTAGTAATCTTCTGTAAGGGTTGACGACAAGCCAAACGCTAATTAGGCCTCTCTATAGGAGACACTTGTAACTCAATCTGCCAAGTATTTGATATTCCTTCCTCTTCGTTCTACGAATGGAATCGCAGTCTTGGTTCGTTCTATTCAGTGGAGGATTTGAATCTCTGGATGACATTTTATCTAGCCCGGACTGCTCCAACCTCTGGGTGGGAAATTCTGTGAGTCTCCAATCACTCGTTCTCACCAGGTTCTCGTCCTGTATACATATGTAGTGCAGTCACGCCCTTCCTCTCTCTCGCCACACCACACAATGCTTTTATTCTATTATTCCTTTCCCCTTGCTGCATTATACATACGACCATAGGGTGTGGAAAACAGGGCTTCCCGTCCGCTCAGCCGTACTTAAGCCACACGCCGGCGAGTTAGTAGTTGGGTGGGTGACCACCAGCGAATCCTCACTGTTGTATGTTTTTGTTTTTTTTGTCAGCTTTCGTTTCTCTTGCCGCCCTACCTCGGTGCTCTTCAGCCCCTTCAGCTTATTCACCTGAATGCCCTGAACACCACTATTCTACACCTGAATATCCTGCACGCCCCTGAACCGCTGACGTGTCTTTCCCCTCCCTTACTGATTTTTTTCTCTGGCGTGTTGTTTTGATAACAACTCTCTGGTACTAGTTTCTACTGGTTGACACATGTCCTCCTAGGATTCAAATGACAGTAGGAAAGTAAAAGAAGGGCCGCCTAGGAGCATCAAACTTGTTATTGAATATAAATTCGCTGGAGGTCACCCACCCAACTACTAACTCGCCGGCGTGTGGCTAGTCTAGGAAGCTTCGCACCTTCCGCTCACCACCCAGGGCCATCCAGACAACAGGGATTATCATGATCATGTCTCAACAATGGGGGCTTTGCACCTTACGCTAGCAGGGGGCCTTACACTCAGTACGTACTAACGTATTAGCCGTGTCCCATATGA